TCGTGTGATCTTTTGTATGGTCTCCCGTACGGTCCCTCCTCCTCCTCCTCCTCCTCCTCCTCCTCCTCCTCCTCCTCCTCCTCCTCCTCCTCCTCCTCCCCTTCCTCTCCTGCTCCTCCTCCTCTTTCTCTTTCTCCTCCTCCTCCTCCTCCTCCTCATCCTCATCCTCATCCTCACCCTCATACATTGGGGGCCCATGCCAAGAAGCACCCTGCTTGCCTCCAGGATGCCCTGGGTTTCTTGGGCTTCGATGGTTTTGCCATGGAAGGCGTGGTGTTCCAACGCCAAACATCGATGGGCGCCCTGGGGTCTCGGGGTTGGGTTTCTTGTGGAAGGTTTCTTGTGGTCGGGCCCCTACTCATGATATAAGATTCCCCGTAGTATTTAAATATGCAGGTTAGGGTATTCGGGCGCAAGGGTGCAATGCATTTTGGTCCAGGCTCCATGAAGGATCCCAAGCCGTTGTTTCCATATCCCCATCTCCATGTCTCCCCAGCTGATTTGGCAGCTGTCAGAGAAAGCGTTCGGTTTCGTGAGTGGTTTGCTCGATCAGCAAATCCCAGGGATCAGTGAACGAATGCGTAATCCAGCGGCGCGGAGGACGTGGCATCGAGTCTGGCATCTGAAATGTGCGCGTTTGGTGAATTCCTCTTGTTCCAGCTCTTGCTGCTCTGAATGCCATCATCATCATACTCTCCATTTTCATCTTCATCATCATCTTCATCATGAGTGCGTTGCACAGCATTGATCGTCCATCTATCTCCGCGGCCGTTGTCCTATCCTCAAGGTCTTTCTGCTGCGCCAGAGTGGCGCACACGACCGTCTCCGCTGGCGCATGTTTTGGGCCTGGGCCGCCTCGGCTGCGTGCGCGCCTGTGGCGGTGAGCAGCGTCGTCACCGCCCTCTCCGCGTGGTGGGTGCTGCGGGGCGTCCTGTCAGACGCCACCGAGGCGGCGCGCGCAGCGGGAAGGGCGGAGGTCAGCTGCCCGGACATTCCAGAGCCAGCTTGCCACTGCCATTGCCAGTGCGACGCGGTGGGAACGCCGAGTGGAGGAAGTCAGCCTTGGCTTGTCGTAACGGGTCGGTGGTCTGTCTGATCATGTCCACGCTGCAGGTGATCGTCACGTGTGTGCAGATCGGTTGGCGCCATGCTGCCAATCGCGGCTTCAACGGCGGGGCCACGGCCGCGGGGAGCGGACGGGTGGCCCTTGCCATCGGTCCCGGGGGGGGAAGCCTTTCGCCGAGCCTTCGTGAAATACGCGGGGGCGGGCGAGGACTTGTTACACGAGCGGGCGTTCCTCAATGACATAGAGCACGGAGTGGTCACCATAGCTAGTCCACACTACGACGTGTACGACGAGGGCTTGAGCGATCAGGCAGTGTTCGAGGCAGTGAGGTTCGCGGGCGACAACGGGGAGTTGCCGCTCGGTCTGGGTGGAGCGAGGCTGCACAGGTTCCGCGCGCCGCCCACCGACGGGGAGATCGACCAGCTGCTGGCCGAGGGAGGCTGTCGGAGTCATGACGTTCCGAGGCGCCGGCGCGGGCGGAGGTGTCGGAGGTGGCGGAGCCGCCGCGGCGGCGGCGCCGCGGGAGGCGGCGCCGTTGCCGCCGTCGCAGCTGTCTGCTGGGTGCTTGCCGAGCACGCCGACGGGCACAACATCGGTGAGATTGTGACGCTGCTTGCCAGCGCGGTGCAGGCCAACGGGCACGGGCTCATGGCGCTGCCGGAAATGGCACATCCCCGCCCTGCGCTCGTGAAGCAGCTGAACAATTACCAGGCGGAGATCAACAGCTTCTGCGAGGAGCGTATCAGGTATAATCGGGCAGCGACGGGCACTCACGGCAACGACCAGGCCGCGGGCGATGACTTGCGCACGCTGTCCGTTGAGCACGGGCCCGACGGCGCACGGCGGAGAGAGTTTCGGAAGTCTGCTGAGAAGATGACGATGACGGCGTTCGATGACTTCCCGCTGAGCGAGCCCAGGACGGCCGCGTGGCACTGTCGAGAGACCATCAAGATGTCGGAGGGCCCGCGGGCCCAGCGCATGAGGTGGATGATCGAGGCGAAGATTCCAGACGGAGATCGCTCTGCTCTGCCCACGAGGGCGCCAACCTCGCGCTGATCCAGGAGCCCTCGATCACCTGCGACGGGCTGAACGTTATGAACCTGGAGCGCGCGGGGGCCGCGGTGCGCAGGAGGCAGCTGGCTGCCGAAGCTGATCACCGCAGCCCCAGCGCGCCAAGCTACGAGGGGGCCGCTCACTTCATGGGCGACGGGGCGCGGGCGGGCGGGGCGCCAGCGGCGCTGGACCCGACGTCGCACACGAGGGGGGCGGACGAGGCTCTAGACCCGCAGGGCAAGCTCCTGGCCCGGCGGGGATCTAAGTCGCGTCTCGAGACGCGAAGCATCTCGGCTCGAATGAACCCGGATTGCGATTTCTACTTGCGGGAGTTCAAGGGCTTCTGCATGCAGAACGGCTTGCCCGCGGCCATCTCGGCGTCGACCGACCTGCTGCTCGTGGACTACTACTTCGACGTGAAGTTCCTGGACGGGCACGGCCCCCCGCTGGCGGAGAAGACCATCGCGGCCGTCCAGTTCGCCGAGTTCAGGATGAAGATCGGACAACAGTGGCCCCTCGCGAGGGCGGTGCTCGCCCTGAAGGGGTGGAGGAAGGTGGCGCCCGCCGCCGGCCTGCTGCCGCTGCCGTGGGTTATCCTGCCGGCGCTCTCCATGCAGTCGGCTCAGCAGGGGAGGCGCGACATGGCGCTGTGCCTGGCAGTGCGCTTCGCGCGCTACCTGATTCCGCCCGAAGGGCTCAGCGTCCGCGCGAAGGACATCGCGCCACCGGTCTCGGGGGCAGGTCACGGCTTCCGGTGCCACGCGGTGATTGCGCGGGGGTCGGGCGGGAAGGTGCCGGACAAGGTCGGGGCGCGCGACGACAGCCTCATCCTCGACCAGGGGCGCTTGCCCAACCTTGGCGCCGCGTTGCTCCGACCGGCGCGGGGAAGGGCCAGGAACGCGCCTGTTCGATTTCCAGCTGATGGAGGTGAACGAGCTGATGAACCAGGCGGCTCGCGACCTCGGGAACCTCGACCGTCTCTCTCTGCGCAGGCGCTTGCGCGGAGGAGCCGCCCGCGACCTCGGGGGGGCGCAGGGGCAGGGCCGCAGTGATGGCTCGAGGGCGGCGTTAGACGGAGACCTCATCTCGGCCTTGCACCAAGGTCGGGAAGGTTCTAGACATGCTCGCGATGCTCTCGCCCAGCGTCCTCGACTATGTGAGAAAGTGCGCGGTCGTGCTCGACGACGTGCCGATGGGCCGCAAGGCGGGGCTGGCGCCTCCGCGCGTGGCAAGGAAGTGAAGAGGCGCCGCCACCGCTCGCCTTCGTTCGCTCGTCGCCCTGCCCTGCGGGGGCGAGTCGGGGGCAAGGGCGTCCCGGGGGTTTCCTCGGGATCTGAGCGCTTCGCCGCGTCGTTGAAGGGTGGGGGCATCAGAGCTGAAGGCCTGGACATCCTCAATGGGGTTGACCTGCGTGAAAGGGAAAACCAGCACCGCGTCCTGGCCATTACAGCAGGAGCGTTGGCTTCTTTTGGTTCGGGCTGCCGTGTGATTCCTGGAGCAGGGCTAGACGATGGGGAGGCACTGGACCAGGGCCTCTTCGTGATGAGAAACGATGTATCATGCGATTGCCTGGACTGAGTGACGAGGATGCAAAGGTTGGCTATGGGGAACCAGCTGATGCGTTTCGTGGTCCTGTGTTGTCGGGCCGCCTCTGAAATCGGGATCTCCTGGGCCGTGGAAAACCCTCGGACGAGCAGAGTCTGGAAAACCCTGGCCATGAAAAAGCTGTCTGTCATCAAGAGCTTTGGGGCTGAGCGTCAACCTCCGTATTTCGTGCATATATAATATACCGGGCGTCCAGGTCCCCGGGCCCAGGGGCAACCCACTTTTCCAAAACTCCCCCACCCCCCCCGCACCCGACTTTAGTCCCCGGCGCCGGCGAGCCTATTTGAACGCTCCAGGGCGCTCCCTGCGCATCGAAAGCCCCCTTTGGCGCCCGCAGAGGGCGCCCAGAGGCCGCCAAGACAGCCCGAGAGCGCACCAAGCCGCCGAAGATGGCCCCGTGATGGCCCAAGAGGCCCCCAAGACGCCCCCAAGAGGCCCCAAGAGCGCTCCAAGAGAACCTCCAAGAAGGCCCCAGGAGGCCAACACAGTCGATTTTCATTGCGTTTCTCGCTGTTTTTTTGCTGTTCGCGTTCTCGGGCTTCCGACACGCCAAGACTTCGCAAAAAGCCTCCAACATCGTCCCAAGAGGGCCCAAGAGGCCCCCAAGATGCCCCCAAGAGGCCTCCAAGCCGGCCCAAGAGAGCCTCCAAACGGCCCGAGAGAGGCCCAAGACGGCCCAAGAGGGCTTCAGGACGACCCCAAGAGGGACCCAAGAGGGGAAATACGAACCGGCATGTCGAGCTTTCCGTCCCAAGAGGCCCCCAAGAGGCCCAAAAGAGGCCTCCAAAAGAGAACCTAAGCGCGCGCGAAGCGCGCGCGTGGTTCTAGTTTAAATTTCTGCCAGTTTGGAGAGGGGTAGAAGAAGAGTAACTCGCTGCTGTGTCATGGGTTTGATATTTCAGAAGTTGGCTTACGGTGTTGTATGAAAGATGGCGTGCGTTCTCGTACTGGCTGCCGCCACGCGGTTCTCGAAGGACAAGACCGCTTCGGCCTTTGGAGCACCCGGCGGGCACAAGCTTACCCAAAAGGACCGTGCAGAAAGCTTGCACGAATCTTAAAACGCGTTTTAGCAGTCCACAGCGTGGATAAGTGAGATCTCCAGGCCTGACCAGATTTAACTGTATGCAGTTATGGCTCCTCGTGGGAGCTGCCATCTTGCTCGTGCTGTCTGACCTTTGTAACTTGCCGCTGTGGCCCGCGCAGCGTCTGGAACTGTTTTTGGCCAGGGGATGGGGAGATCATGAGAGAGCGTTGCACAGCATTGATCGTCCATCTCCGCAGCCGTTCTCCTGTCCTCAAGGTCGTTCTGCTGCGCCATCCCGAACCCCGACCTGCCTCCCCTTTTCCTTATATCAACCCGCTTACGCGGGGGCGGATATCTACAGACCTCACCATATTTAACTGTATGCAATTCTGGCTCTTCGTGGGAGCCGCCGTCTTGCTCGTGCTTTCTGACCTTTTTAACTTGCCGTTGCGGCCCACGCAACGTCTGAAACAGTTTTCGGGCCAGGGGAGGGGAGATCATCGTTAACATCATCATCGGCATCCGCATCCGCATCCGAATGCCATCATCATCCATTTCCGCAACAAAAAAATGCATTCTCGCATCCTTCCCCTACCTTATTGTGTCTTTTGCCTTTGGCGCTCAAGGCTAGAGCGTGTGAAGAGGATGCTGGACCGCCTGCACTTGCGGGACCGCAACAGGTGTTTTTTCTGCATCATCCTCTGCATGCTGGCCGCCCTGGTGGCCACCCCGCGCAGGGGGGAGGGGGAAGAGGCCAGACATGATGTCCAGGAGCATGAGCAGGAGGAGGAGGATTATCAGGGGCACGATAAGATCGGGGGAGGCGGGAGCAGCAGGGAGGCATGAGGGAGGGAGGGAGGGGGAAAATACGCTCTAGAGGATTGCTATTCACGTGCATGGGTCGTGGCTACGTGCGTTTCTCATGCCGGGAGGCCGTCTCACCTTCGGCGATGTTTATGCGTTTGAGCGCATAGACAGCGGGACCTAGGTCGTATTCGATTTCGGCGTTTTCGTGCTTCCAGAAGGTTTGGATGGGCAGAGGTGTTTCCGTGTGGCCCTGATCGGCACATTTGTGCACAATTCAGTGTCGTCGATTGAAGTCGAAGTTTTTGGTCTCAACGAGGTTGTCGAGACCGGCGTGTTGACCGAACCTCCTGCGACATGAACAAGAGAACGTTGCAGTCGCCGCCCATCATAAGAATCAGGCGTTTTTCCCAGGATGTCCTCGCATTCTTGCCTCTTGCGTACCGTCCTTAGTCATCTTCGCGACCCCCTCGCGTGCCCTCGGGGACCCCCACGGGTCTTGCATCCTCACCCTGCATCGTCATGAATCATGGCGATGCAGGGTATGGGCGTATTCAGGCGACGGCTGGTAAGGAGGCAGGACCCGTGGGCGGACTACGTGACGAGTTGGACCAGCCAATCATCATGATGTGCGGCGGTGATGGTTCGGGGGAGGAGCTTGGAACTCGGAACTCGGAGATCCGCGAAAAGATGCTGGAGAGCATCGTTGCCAGGGGGGTGGGGGGAGGAGGGAGGAGAGTAAAGGGGGAGATGGACGGAGGGACGACGGAGGCACGACAGTCGGGATGCGGGAGGAGGGAGGAGGAGGAGGGGAGGAGGCGGAGGAGGGAAGGAGTAGGAGGTAGGAGGAAAGGAGAATGGGAGGGAGGGAGGGAGGGAGGGCGGGAGGAGGCGGAGGAGGAGGAGGAGGAGGAGGCGAGGGAGGAGGAGGAGAAGGGAGGAGGGGAGGAGGAGGGAGGGAAGGGAGGGAGGGAGGGAGGGAGGGAAGGGAGGGGAGGAGGTAGGGCGGGAGGAGGGAGGGAAGGGAGAAGAAGGGAGGGAGGAGGGCGGACGGGGGGAGGATAACAGGAGGGAGAGGAGAGGGAGGAGGGGCAGCCCAGGGCGGCAGGAAGGACCTTCCGGGTGAGAGAGGGCAGCGGATCTCGAGCCCCCCGCCCAATGAGGATGTGTAGGAGGCGTGGCCTTCGTGAGGCGGTGCGAGAGAAGCAGGAGGAGGAGGAGGAGGAACGAGCAGGAGGAGGAGCAGGGGAGAGAGGAGGGGAGGGGAGGGGGAGGGGGAGGAGGAGGAGGAGGAGGAGGGGAGGAGGAGGAGGAGGAGGAGGAGGAGGAGAGTAGGAGGAGGAGGCGGAGAGGGAGGGGAGGAGCAGGAGGAGGAGGAGGACGGGGAGGATGAGGGGGAGAAGGAACAGGAGGAGGAGCAGGAGGAGGAGGAGGAGGAGGAGGAGGAAAGACAAACGATGCGACGGAGGATGCGTATGGAGCGTGGCCCTCGTGAGGCGGTGCGGGAGGAGGAGGAGGAGGAGGAGGAGGAGGAGGAGGAGGAGGAGGAGGAGGAGGAGGAGGAGGAGGAGGAGGAGGAGGAGGAGGAGGAGGAGGAGGAGGAGGAGGAGGAGGAGGAGGAGGGGCAGCAGGAGGAGCAGCAGGAGGAGCAGCAGGAGGAGGAGGAGGAGGAGGACCGGGGCCCCGGGCGGGCTCGCTGTGGGGGTGCTCCGTGTCGGGGCTCACGGGCAGACAAATCAGGTGTCTAAGAGTCGCCGCTTTAAGAAGCCTGTTCAAGGTCAAGTCAGGGGCTTCTTTAGGACTCAAGATGCAGACCTCCAAGCAGGCCAGGGATATGGACCCCAGGGTGTATTACCACAGCCAGGTCGTCTTGCAGTGGTCAAGGGCCGTCTGGGATAACGTGGTCAAGTTTGAGGTTCTTGAGGTCGTCCTGAGGCAGGCGATCGCAGATCTGAAGAATGCCAAGTCCCCGTGGAGTAAGGCTATTTCTCCTGCACACGTACTCGTTCTGACGTTGCACGAGATTGGTTGGCAGCCTCTTTCGGCTCGGCTCTTCAAGTCCCACAACGGCGACACCATAGATCTCTTTCAGCTCGCCCCAGCCGCTGTGAGAAAGCTTGTGGCCGAAGCCGCTCGTGACTCTTCAGACGTCGAGGCACTGAATGCTCGCAGTGGGAATGTGACATGGTGCAGACCCATCTTATGGGAAGGCATCCAAAGTTTATGTGGAAAAGGGGCGGGCACAAGCTGGTCAGAACACCACAAGAATTGTTTGCGATCGGCCGTATCCCTTACCACGTGGACGATGGACAAGATGTATAGCCAGCGGCTGACTGACACGGACAAGTGTCAGATATGTCTCCATGTTGTTGGAACACTATATCATAAAATATGTTGTTGTGACGCTTGGATGTTGGAGCGGAGAGATTGTTGCTCGAGAGTGTTGCTGGCGGCGGCTGCAAATATCGAGCGGTGGCACCAGGACGAGAAAAAAGTTTGCGGCAGGCTTGCTCCCGTTCCCTCGCGAGATAGTGCCCAAGCCGTTATACTCTTCTGAGGCTGGCATACACTGGAGAGTTCGCCCGTCCGATGGCTACCTGTCTGGAAGAATCTACTCGGATGGCTCTGCGCTGCATCCGCGACATCGTCAGTTTCGACGGGCAGGATGGTCGCTGGTTATGTTCAATGATGTCGGGAGATTCATAGCAGCAGCATATGGTGCAGTTCCCGTCCAGGAGTGTCCTGTCCAGCAGGCGCGCGATGGAGAGGACTATGCTGTGAGAATGGCGTGTGAGTGCGTGTTCGGCGAGTTTTGCCTGCACGTTAACTGTTCTGGCACGTTGCATTGTATTCGGGATCGTGCGTGGTCGGTGAGCAGCATGCATGAGCGCGCGCACTTGTGGCAGAGAGTGTGGCACGTGTTTGAGGACGGCTTGCTGGCTGTCAAGGTCCGAGCGCACAGTACAATGACCGACGTGCGCGAGGGCCGAACGAGTGAAGTGCACACGCGAGGCAACAACAAAGCCGATGAATGTGCTAAGCTAGGTGCCGCCTGCCACCCAGATGCCATTAACTCTGTAAATAAGTTTAAAGCTCTGGTTAGTTTCTCGAAGGAGCTAAGCAGGTGGATAGGTGTCCAGGGGGTCAACCAGGCTTCCAGGGCTCTTAAAGACACTGTTGTTTTTCCTGAGAAGGCAGTGTCGGCCAGGAAGAAGAGTCGGCGGCCTCGGGAACCCTCACGGAGCTTTCTTGTCGGATCCCGCTCGATTTTCCCTTTTTGGATTCGAAGACGGCCGACACTGACCCAGAGCTGGAAGTGTTGAACCAGCTCCAAGGCCACCAATTGCGAATTGCAGATGTGTTTGATCGCAACGGCCCTCTCGTTTTGACAGGTAGCAAGGTTGCTATGTGCGCCAGGTGCGGCGGCTACGCGTGGGCGGGTATCCAGAGCCTGGCCAAGCCCTGCGAGCCCCCCTCTTATGCTATGAAGAGGCAGAGATGTATAATGGAGAAGGGTTTTTTTCCTTGTTGGTCTGTGCAGTACAGTGGATGGGTGATTGGGCCTACGCACAAGTGTATCACCTTGCAACGCGAGGAATGCGGACCACCCCCCTCTGATAGAAGACTCCGATGCTGGCGTTTCCGTCCAGGGCGTGTGGGGGGAGCGTTGGAGTGAACAGGAGCTCCTGGCGCGGTTTGGTCTCGACGCAGTTTTGCTCGAGAAGTTGATGGCCCAAGCGAGGCCAAAGGAATCGGAGGAGTCTGAGACCGACTCCGATCTGTTTTAGTTGGGCTGCGTTTCGGGGGCAGTGGCATTGACGCTGTCTCCACATGGAACAGAACAGAACAGAACAGAGGAGGATGAGGACGGGGAGGAGGAGGAGGAGGAGCAGGAGCAGGAGCAGGAACACGAACAGGAACAGGAGCAGGAACAGGAGCAGGAACAGGAGCAGGAACAGGAGCAGGAACAGGAGCAGGAACAGGAGCAGGAACAGGAGCAGGAACAGGAGCAGGAGGAGCAGGAGGAGCAGGCGGAGGAGGCGGAGGCGGAGGAGGCGGAGGAGGAGGAGGAGG